TTATAATTTAATACATTATGCACAATTATTTTCTGTTAGAAAAAAAATGTCTTTGTCTAATAATATAGGACAAGTACCCAATAGTCTCCCACAAAACTTGATCTTCAAGTGTCCCAACCAGAAGACTTGGACATATGTCTACAAGGTGTGTCATGCAAGAAACGACTGTGGTGACTGCTTGGATCAGTAAGGGAAAACTGGGAATGTGTTCTTGACCTTATAATCCCTATCTTTACATTTCAGTAACACAAATCAAGGGCCAAGGGACCAGTGGCTCCTGCTTTGGGAATCCTTGCATCTTAGGGACAGAGATCTGCCCAAGTGGACAGAAAAGTCCATGAGACTGTGACTAATCACCAAGAAACTGAAAATGGAACATTGGCTCAAGTGGTACAACACTAACCTTGAGGGAAAAAGCTCAAGGACAGTACGAAGGCCCTGAGTCCAAGCCCTAGCACTGGCACACACACACACACACACACACACACACACACACACACACACACACACACACACACACTTACAAACCTTCCTTAAAGATATTTATCTCTACAATTAAGAATTTCTCCCAGGAATGCCATGTAGCTCAGTGGTATGCTGCATGGTTAGCATGCTCAAGGTCCTGGGTTCGATGTCCAGAACCACCATCAAAAAACCAGAAAGGAGCTGGGTGACTCATACCTGTAATCCTAGTTATTCAGGAAGCTGAGATCTAAGGATTATGGTTCAAAGCCAGCCCAGGCAAGAAAGTCCGTGAGACTCTTACTTCCAATTAACCACCAGGAAACAGGAAGGGGCACTGGGATTCAAGGTTGTAGACCACTAGCCTTGAGCAGAAGAGCTCAGGGACAGTGACCAGGCCCTGGGCTCAAGCCCCACGGCTGACAAACAACAACACAACACAAAACAAAAAGCACAACCAGAAAGAAGGAAAAAGAAGGTAGGGAAGGGAAATTTTAGCATTCTATTAGATGGTGCCTGTTCTCTAGGTAGGAAGTACATAGAACTAGTTTTGCAAGGATTAACCTAATTCACCTAATCTCTCAGTGCACACCTCTTGACTGTATCATATTCCACTTGGTGAAGAACAAAGAAAAGTCTGTTGAACGCTTTAGTACTCCAGACTTCATTGCTAACTTTGGTTGTTTCCTTGCCCTTTCTTCTGCACTTTCTTCTTTGTTCCTCTCCAGGTTCCCAGTGTCATTTAACTTTGAGCAGCACTGCTGGTCACTTTATAGCAAGGCTGTGTTACTCTAAAACATGACAGTAGGTACTGTTCCAATGCATCATGATAAATAAAAGATTTCTCAAAAAATACACTGACTAGACAGTTTCCTGCCCTTTGGTCATCATGGAGGATAAAAATTGAAATATATCCCAGGACATATGGAGAGCAATTTTCTGGTAACAAATGAAGAGAAAGATGAAGACATCCATTTTCTGGTTAGCTGCCAGTTAGCCCTAATTTTTGTCCCCTGCTGACTGAACACATTTAAATGGGCCCTTCTTTGTTTATAGAATATGTCAGCATGTTTAGCTTTAGGCTGATGGGAAGAGGTAGTACTCTTCTTGGCTTTTCGAATGACATGTAGACTCTCTAATAAACATCTGTGATTTTCCTAGTAGAGGTTTTCACTTGTATTATTAAGACCCAAAGGGTAATTTCTTGTGCAATAGTACCTTTTCCAATCTACGTTGACATTTTAACAATTACAGTTTTAAAAACAAATACACTTGTCTAGTTTCACAGTGTCCAAAGTGCTCAGGCTGGAGATGTGATACTGTTTTCATCATGGATTGTGCCTGCATTCCCAAAACTTGCAGCAAAAATGGCATTCAAGACTGTGCTGATTGGAGTGACGAAAACTTGTGCAAGAAGGCTTTTCTAATCATGGTTTGGGAAAAGCAGAAAACTGTTAACTGCCTCAAGACTTTTTAATTGTTGATTTTTCTATCTACCTATATTCCTTACTGGGGGGAGGGGAAGGAAAGAGCTACTATAGAACCTGAGTCTATCAGTGAAGAAAGAAAAGGGTAAGTGGAAATCAGTACCGTTGCCCATTTCTGTTTCCAAGTTTTAGAATGAAGCTGTCCTCCCTATTCACTATAGAGGTACTATTGAGACCACAAAAGTACATTATAGCTTGTTTCAACAGATATAAAGGTGGTGACTTGTAAGTTCAGTCAAGAAATGCATATCTCATTAGTGTAGTTCTGGTTCAGATCTATCTGAAAACGAGTTTTGTTTAGAGCTGATCTTAAAAAAAATGTAAACAGGATTACATTGATCAAGGAGTGGTATACTCATAATCTGACTTAATTATAACCTCTGTGTACAACTACTTGATAAAATAGGGCTGGGAATGTGGCTTGGTGATAGAGTGCTTGCCTAGCATTCATGAAGCCATGGGTTCCTCAGTTCCACATAAACAGAAAAAGCTCAAAGTGGCACTGTGGCCCAAGTTGTAGAGTGCTATCCTTGAGCAAAAGAAGCTCAGAGATAGTGCCCAGGCCCTGAGTTCAAGCCCCAGGATTTGGGGGAAAAAAATGTGAACAGCAAGGCACTAGTAGTGCATGCTTGTTGTCCTAGCTACTCAGAAGACTGAGACCTGAAGATTGAAATTCCAAACCAGACTGGGCAGAAAAGTCTGAGACTTCATCTCCAATTAAGCAGCAAAATGCTGGACTGGAGACAAGGCTTAAGTGGTAGAGCACCAGAAAGCCAAGTAAGAGTACCAGGCTGAGTTCAAGCCTCAGAACCAAAAAAAAAAAAAAAAAAGCCAAGAAATTATCGTCCAGACCAGAACTGTCCACTCCTCTAATCTTTCAATACCTTAAACATTGTTTCCAATAAACTTGAAAGAACAGACCACGTTTAAATCTCAATTGCATTACTACCAGATCGTGTGACAGAACTGGAGAGCAAAAGACAGACAGGTTCCTCATCTGTATGATGCATGTGCCTCTTATGATTTTTTTTGGGGGGGGGGTCTGGTCGTGGGGCCTGAACTCTGGGCCTTGGCGCTGTCCCTCAGCTCTTCAGCTCAAGGCTAGTGCTCTACCACTTGAGCCACAGCGCCACTTCCGGCTTTTTTCTTTTGCTTATGTGGTGCTGAGGAATCGAACCCAGGGCCTCAGGCATGCAAGGCAAGCACTCTACCACTGAGCCACCTTTCCAGCCCGCCTCTTATGATTTTTGACAAAACAAGTTGTAGTGCTGTCACATACAATAGCAGCAATAGGAATTGTAGAAAGGAACAAAATCCCAAGATTATGGTAGATTGTATTATTTGTGTTTCTATTCTCCTACTCTGGGAGATGGTGAAGTGCTTATCCTTCCACAATCCAGGCCATCCGCATAACTACACATGCAGCTTCCTCTAGCTGATGAAATGTGATCATTAATGATATGCATTGCTTCCCAGCCAGCTGGTGCTTTGCCATCCTATGCCTGTCAGGAGATTGGCAGTGTTCCAATTCAAGGCTGCTCCTGAAATAGAGCCCAACCACAGGCACACTAGCAAGTGTGACAAACCTTTGTAGCAACTAAAACTTTTGGTCGTTAGCTGCAGCATAATCCTAGCTAACTACTTTGACATCGAGAGGTTATAAGAGAAAACTTTCCTACTAATTCAGAGCAAGCAGCCTATCATTTGAAATAAACTTTGGGGCTTTTTTGGGGAGGGGGGCTGGTCCAGTGTGTGGACACTGTCCTTGAACATTGTTTTGCTCAAGGCTAGCATTCTACCACTTGAGGCATAGTTCCATCTTTTTTTGGTTGGGCGTAGGATTTGAACTCAGAGCCTGGGCACTGTCTCTGGGCTCTTTTGCTCAAGGCTAGCACTCCACTTTGAGCCGCAGCACCACTTCCGGGTTTTTTGTGGTTCATTGGAGATTAGGTCTCAGACTTTCCTGCCTGGGCTGACTTTGAACTGCAATCTTCAGATCTCAGCCTCCTGAGTAGCTAGGATTATACCAGCACCCAGCTAGTTCCATTTGAAGGCTAATTGGAGATGACTCTAATGGATTTTCCTGCCCAGGACAGCTTTGAACCTTGATCCTTAGATCTGTCTCCTTAGTAACTTAGCTAGGATTATTTATAGGCATGAACCACCAGCATCTATATGAAATATGAACTTTCAAAACATTTGAGGTCAGACAAAATTCTCTTGTTGAAAGCCTAACAGGTTTAAATAGCACCTGTACAGAATAAACAAGTTGCCCTGGGCCAGACCTACCTAGACAGTCATACTCCTTCCCATCATCCTTTCTTCTAGATCCAAGTCACACAGCTAGAAAGGAAGAATAACTATCTCCACAGGTGGTTAAGATTGAGAACACTTACAACTATGCTACGCAAAAGCACAAGTGGGCCAGCAGGAGCAGCACTGCTTGGAATGTGAATCTTCAGGTCCACTCCAGTCTGCTCAGTTACAGACTATCCTACACAGGATAGATGTGGAGATCAAGTCTAAACTTAAGGTTATATCTAGTCCCTACTTTATAAACTGAGGTGGAAAGAGCTCCCTACTTACTCTTATCTATTCTCACATCTACCACTTTCCAAGCACGGAATGAATATCCCAGTGCTGCTGGAGAAAGTTTTATTTTTGTGGTTGTGGGGCCTGAACTCTGGGCCTGGGCACTGTCCCTCAGCTCTTCAGCTCAAGATTAGTGCTCTACCACTTGAACCACAGCACCACTTCCAGTTTTTCTGGTGGTTAATTGGAGATAAGTCAGGGTTGGCTTTGAACTGCAATCCTCAGATCTCAGCCTCCTTAGTAGGTAGGATTACAGGCATGAGCCTCTGGGGCCCGACTAGAGAAAGTTTTTAAACATGAATACTTTAGTCCATCTTTGTTACAACTGTTAAACCCAAAGATTACATCATTATATACTATGACCCACTTTTCCATAAACAATTATGAAAGCTATGATTAGCTTTGTAAACAACTTTGCTGTGTCCACACAGATCAGTGTCACCAAAAAAAGAAACTATCTACTAGGCAAACAATTTTATTAACCTTTGTTTCAACCTTTATTCCCAGGCTTTATCAGCTTCATTAGCTGCAAAGAATGAATTTTGTATAAGCAAAAACTGAAAAGAGCTGCAGTGTCCAGGGGGCTTGGGCTTAAAAATATTAAGAGATCTAGATTTTATCAGACCCATAAACAAAAGAATTTTAAAAAGCAGTCATATTATAAAATAGCAGCTCCTGTAACGTCTTCAAGTTATATCTTCTTCAGAAGTTGACTCAATTCAGTTTGCCTCATTCTTAGAAGCCTCATCAAAATTCTCCACAAGATCTAGAAAAGGGGAAAAAAAACAATTCTAAAGTCAACCTCCAAATAATTACAGTTTGATAGGTGATAAATGCTATAATTTAAAGGTGTCATTTTTAATGAGACTGTTATCCATTTGACATTGCAAAGTGTGTTTTAGAGCTTTTGTGTAAATTGACAATAAGCATCTTGCTTACAGAATGTCTTTCTCCTAACACCCCCACTACAAGAATTAAACAATATGGGCTGGGAAGGTGGCTCAGTGGTAGAGTGCTTGCCTTGCATGCATGAGGTCCTGGGTTCGATTCCTCAGCACCACATAAACAGAAAAAACCAGAAGTGGTACTGTGGCTCAAGGGGTAGAGCACTAGCCTTGAGCTGAAGAGCTGAGGGAAAGCACCCTGGCCCAGAGTTCAGGCCCCATACACTGATCGATGAGTATGTGTGTGGTGTGTGTGTGTGTGTGTGTGTGAAGGTATGTATATGAAATACCACACCATACACTTTAATATTTCCTTGGTTCCTATGAATTCCTGTCTGAAGGATTCAAAGTGTCAGTATTTATGAATCCCCTGTCCAATACAAATTTGCTTTACATCAAGGTAAATTGGCTAAAGGTGGTGGTACATGTCTGAAAGGCAGAAGACTGAGTCACACTGGACTACACTGTGTGACCTTTCCCCTATAAAAAGAATCCAAGTAAATTATCCAATAATGAGAAAAATGCCTCATGGCTGCCAAAGGAGTTGTTCTGCCTCAGATTTTGGAACAATCGTATCCCAAGATTTTTAAGCAATTCTCCAGGTCTTCTTATAAATTCAGGGATTCCTAGGTAACTTATGGTGTGTAGTTAGTTATACTTAGATTACAATATATGTAATTATTTGTATCTCCAGCAGAAATAAGCCCAAACCTAACTCCTAGTTAATTAACACATTATTTTCCTCATTCTAAGTGAGGTGTTTATTGCTCACCCTCCCTTCAATTATCCTACCCAAGGTAACTGGACCTGAAAAGCCCCTTATTCTCCCTTGCTATAGTTCTCTATGTTACACTACAGTGAAAGCTTTACCTGGAACTTCATCATCATCATCCTCGCCAGTAGCAAGTGGTGCTTTTCCATCCACAGCTGTACAAGAGAAACACACATGTAACATATATATCCCTACATTCTCAACATACATCAACCAAATGAACAAATATCAAACGTATATTCATATGACAAATGAAATCGAGATTTCACCAAGTACCAAATATGAAATTGAGATTTCACCTAAGAACCAAATAACGTGACATTCTGATATGTACTAATGACCACCATATAAGTAATAGCTAATACAAATAATAGCTAACAAAAAATTTCCAGCTATTCTTTGAACTCTTCTGGCCAACCACAGTTCTTAAGAGCACATTACCTACACAGCAAAATGATGGTTAAGACTTATATTGGGGAGGTGTAAAAGCAAGGCCATCTTCTCAAGTATCTTTATTCAGAACTTACTCAAAAAACATTTACTGAAATAACTCTTAGTGAAGCATCCACTTTTATCACACAAAATGTGAACTATAAACTACACCCGAGAGTTAAGATTACATAGTATCTTCCCTATATCGATACTTGGTGGGATACTTCAAAAGCCTATTTTTGTCCTGAAAAGCTAAGACTAATACCTTTAAATGTTTATGTGACAAAAAAAAATGCAAACCAACGCATAGTTTGTCAACTCATGGAAAATCATGGTGACTAAGTAAGTCATAAACCTCTTCTACCTTGCTTCTGTATTCAAATTTTAAAGGAAAAACTTAAAGTTACTACATCCCCTAATATACACTTCCTCAACTCATTTTCTTCCATGAACAAAATCCCACACTGTAATTTTAAAACACCAAAATACTGGCAGGTTATCTCTTTAAAATTAGTAAGATTTCTGATACAATGAAGAAATCCAAAACTACAGTCATAATTTATTGTGTGTCCAAATAACTAGAAGAGTCCAGGTCTCAATACAAAAATGACATGTAAATGGAAATACTAATTATGTAACGTATTTTAATAAATTCCAAGTTATGTTGCTAGCAACAAACCCAAAATTAACATTTTAATAATTTCCAGCTAAAAAGGTAAAAAGCATCAGTCTGATTCAAAATAAGCAAACTAGCTAAGTGGTCATAGCAAATGTAAACACTGTAAACACTGGCTTAAAATCAGTTACAAATTTTCCAAGTCTAAAGAAATTCTTAGCAAGTCTGACCCCTGAGATCAAAGAAACAAGTTATTCTAGTTACCCCCAGTAAATTCCCTGTTAGAACACTCACATTGTTTGGGCAGAGCTTCAGCCAGTCTCCTTAAACTAGTCAGACTGTCTGCACCAAGCTGGTTCAAGATGCTGGGAAGCATTTCTGTCAGCTGCTTTGTCTCAGCATGGCCTGTAATGGTGAAAGTATTTGCTGCCAAAGATGCCTGAACTTTAGGGTTGTTAAAGTGGATCACTGTTCCTTGGTTTGTAAACATATTCACCTATAAAGAAAAAAATAAATCAGCAATGTCCACCAAAGTCTCTTTTTATTAAACAAAAACTCAAGTCTGGCTAATGAATTTAGTATTTCACTTTGAAGCATAGGTAAACATTTTCCTGGACTCTAATGTGCAATCAAGTAACTTACAGACTTAACTATCTCCCCAATCTTCATTTATAGGATAGAAGCATAGGACAGGAGGTGGGACTAATGCTTACAGTGCCAGCCAGGAAGTAAAAGCTGAGTGAGAGGAAGGAGGCCCTGAGATCCCCCAAATGGGGAAGAGAGTGCAGAAGCATGTCTAATACTTTGCTAACAAATGAGAATTGATGCATAGACATCAGAACATTCTCCAGCCAAATTTTGTTTTGATATTTACCTCCTCAATACCAGAGATATTGTTCACTCCTAACTTCTTTAAGGAGAACTGAAGTTTTTTGTCATCTGCTGTAGCTGTTCTATGAACCACCTTCTTCTTTCTACGAGCAGTTCCCTAGTAGGAGAAAAGAACAAAAAAGTACATTCATACAATAGAAATAAACAAACATCAAAGAGGAATAATTTCTAATTCAGATCTTTGGTTCTATATTATACTATACTATAATCACAAACTACAGTTGAACAGATGAGATAAAGATGGAAGAAAAATAGATGAAAGGAAATCTACAAATCCTTAATGAATTCTAGTACTTTCATTTTGTCAGGTATGGAGATCTTTTCAAAGTCCTAGTAACCAAGTCCTTTTATAAAGTCTAGGTGTTCAAAGTAGACAGTCACAGGAAAGACATGTGTATGATGCAATCACATGAATGTGTACATACACTTCTGTAATACCTAAGGTCCCCAAGATCTGTCTGGCATCTAATATGCTGCTCTTGAACATACCTCCTTAATCAGGTAAATCTCTTCTGCTCTTCAAATACGCTATGATCTAGAGCATGCATGTGTCATTCCTCTCTTCCCCTAACATCTATGTAGCTCCTCCCTTACACATATTTCTGCTCTTTGTATCACCAGGTCTTTCTCAACCACCCAATATAAAACAACCAAACCCAGACTCACTCATTCTATGCTGGTTTACTTTTCCTTCTTCATTATTCCTAAGTCAAAAGACAATACAATATCTATCTGCCCTCTCTAGAATGCAAGCTCCCAGAAGCCTTCTTTCTGTTTAATGCTAAAAAAATTTCAGTATCTAGCTCACTGATACAGAGCTTAATCAGTAAATACTCAAGGAAATTATAAGCAGCCAACTACATCAGCCTACTCTTCTTTATCTATTACTTTCCTCTTCAAAACATTGTGTTCTGTTTCTAATGTAAATCCTACCATTAACCCCCCCCATCTTTTATTTTGCAATATTGAAAACAAGCCTATCTCCAATACAAGTTTTAAAGCCCCCACCGCATGGACTTTACACCTAGTATTAAACATAATAAAAGCTTAGACAACTCATAAGAAATATCAACAGACTAATATATACACACATTGCAGATAATCTATTTTCCAGAGATTTCTACAGGATTCTTACATAGCATACATTTCACAAGGGTAGAGATCAATTTCTTAATGACATTATTATCAATGTTTTGATTAGCTCCCAAAATAAAAGACTATTAAGATATTTATCTCCAAGTAATACCTGCTATTTTCTCTAGGGCAAAACACACCCACTGAAATTTACATCCTATGATAATGTTTTTACAATTAACAGAAATACTTTTCTGTAAGTTTTATGCTTTATCCTTTACCAGATTTAAAAATCCTTCAAAACTGCGATTTTTGAGTGGTGCCTCTGAAAACTGAAAGCCTAAAGATTAGAGTGACAAACTTGTACAGACATTACTCCTAGAACAGTATGAAAAAAAAAATGATTATTGACACCAACATGGAATACAAAAAAGGACCAGAATGAATGTGGGATGTGTTTCTGGCACCCAAAGGTGATGATATGTATCATCAACTGTGGAAAAAATAAGAAACACCTAATGTTTGTGTTGCAGGTGTAGATAGTGAAGACTACTAGCATCACCAAAAGAAAGGGAAAAAAATCCAGGATATTCACTGTTGGTCAAATCCAGTAACTTGTCAGAGCTGCATCTTAACAATTTAATCTGGACCTTGGGCTATCTCACAGCAAACTCTAGGTGAAGGCATAAATGCTTAAAGTTGGAAAAATTTAATAGGCAATAAACTTGTACTACAGAAGACTCACAAGTTTTATCAAGTAAAGACATGCTCTGTTTCACCAAGCTGCCACACCTAACTAAACACTAGGAATGTGCTAGCACAATAGAAACTATAACTAGGTATAACTACTGTATACAGTAGAGTAAGTTAGTTAGCAAGCAACTTAAAAACCAAGTTCAAAAAGAATTGGCATGAAGAGAATCAATGTCTACCAGGAAAAATCAATTAACCAAAATCTGATCCGTTAAAATTCAGTACTTTCCTCAGTTTTACCAAAATTGCAAAGTGAGAAAAGGACATCTGCTTAGGTAATATTTTCAAATTATAAGTCACTGCTGTTAAAAACTCCAAAATATATCTATTAGGAAGGTGTCAAGTATCCTAATACACAATTACCCTGAAGGGAATTCAGTATAGAAAACATTAAAGTCTTAATTTTAAAAAGGTAAAGTATAACAGGAAAAAATGTATCAAGGAACTTAAAAAAAAATAAGATGAAGATATATATAGTTCAATGTTAGTGGTTTGCCTAGCATGTGCTAATCATGTGTTACATACAACCTGGCTTCCCTCCCTAGAACAGCCAACAACAACCAAAACTCGACTTTACACAAGGGTATTGTGTGCACAATGCCTTAATTGAAATGACGGTTTTTTCCTACTGCTAAATTTAGGAAACATTTCTACTCTTATTTATACACTGTACCACTAAAGGCTACATAAATGCCATTTTTTTTTTTTTAAGTTTTAAGGATCCTTCTCTATTCACGTGCTTGCTCACCCCGGCCTCCCTCCCATTCCCCCACCCCGCGAATCCTCAAGTTAGGCAAAGTAGTGGAAGGCGATCCAAAGGGCATTTCAAAAAGAAAAAAAAAAAACAAAAAACGAGTACAACTTACTTTCCCACCAATGCGCACTTGTGCCTGCAGTTTGGCGAGTTTTTCTTGGTTCATGATAGTTTCTTTCATCTAGAAAGGAGAGGAAAAAAAAAAGCAAAAAAAAAAAAAAAAGGAAAGAGGAAATCCTCAGCGAAGAAAGAAGGTTGGGCTGGCTCTAGCATTCCATGCTCGTTATTCCCCCAGCCTCCAGCAGGAGAATGCGCACCCGACGCAGGCCCCGGGCCTGGGTCCCCCGCCCCGCTCCAGATCTCGGCTCCCACGGAGCTCGAAACCCTTCCCCCACCTCTCCCTCCGCTCCCTCCTCCTCCTCCTCCTCCCCAGGCCCACAACAAGGGCTCGGACCCGCGCCCAGCAGCACCCCCGCGCCCGGCAGCACTCCCCACCCCGGCCCCGGCCTGGCCTCGGCCTAGCCAGGGCCTAACCCGGCCCGGCCACTCTCCGCACGCCTCGCGGTACCTGAGGCTCCTGTCCTCGGGTTCCGCCGCGGGGTGGAGGAAGAGACGGCGTCGCCTCGCCCCCAGGGCCGCCGCCCCTGGCTCGACCTCGCCCCCGAGAGTCGGCCTGAGCCGGGGCGCCCGTCCGTCGCATCGCCTTCCTCTCCTCAGCCCTGTCCCTCCCTGTCTCGCTCCTTCCGGGAACTTCCCGCCCCCGTTCCCGTCCTCCTCCCACGACGGCGTCCACAGCCTTTTTTTGTACCTTGTCGGAGCGGAAATGGGGCCGCGCGGGGGATTAGGGTTGGCGCTCAGGGGGTCTCGGGCAGACCAGCTGAGATTAGGCGCACACACGCGGGGACGCAAGATGGCAGCTAGAGGGAGACAGGAAGTGACGCACGCCACTTCCGGTAAAAGTCAGGAAACTGACTTCGCCTCACGGCCACTGCGCAGTCGCAGCTCTGGTCCTGTCGGTCGGCTCCGAAACCCGCGCCAGCTCTGTGTCCCTTGTAGCCGCGGCCGGCGGGAGGCGGCCGACGGGCGCGATCCCGGCCGGGGCTGAGCCTCCCCCCCGACCTCACCCTCCCCGCTGCCCCCTACAGTCCGGGGAAAGGCCGGAGTGGTCCGAAAGCCGGCCCTCCGCCGTGTGGTTCAGTCTGTGTCCGGCTCGGAGGCGGAGGGCCGGCCTAGGCCGCTGCCCCGAGCTCGCGTCCGCCCCTCGGGCCGTGTGGACTAGAGAACTGTCAAAAACACAGACCGATCTCGCTTTTCTAAGGCGGATGGTTTGCTAGCTGCCGGGACGTGTCCAGGCTCCTTCGGAGCGGGTGGCGTTTCTAGGGATCGGGCTCCCGGTGCGGTCCCCGCCAGGCTCCCCAGTTCCCCCCCTCCAGAAGCTGTTCGGTGGAGGCGGGCGTTGTACCCGAGCCCTTCGGCAAGGTTAGCGGCGGGCTGATCGCGCCCGGCCCCGTCCGCAGGACCGTGGGACAGGCGCAAAGTCGACTCCTAGGTACTGGAGTCGGCGTGGGGTTTGGCACTGAGCGACTCAGGAAGGGACAAACTTAACCAAGTCCGCTCAAAGGAGAATTGGTGCCTGGTATGTTTGGAGAGAATGAACGCGAGCATTTGAGTTAAAAGTTGGTAAAGAACAAGCATTAAACAACCTCAAAGCCACCAATACTAAAAATGGCAATTTTTAAGAAATGCTTAGCTTTTTTTTTTTTTTTTCTTTTGGTAGTCTTAGCTATGAAATCTACTGGCACATTCCAAAAGTAAGTTCGAAATCTTAGAAAAACAACTTGCAAAAACAGACTAGTGTTAAGGGCAGAATCCTCTAAGATCAGCTTTTGCTTTGAGTACTTTTTAATGTAATTTTGTTAAAACTAGAGCCTCATTAAGAGCTTTCTCCAGAGGGACTAGGAATTTGCATTTCAGCTGTTCTGATTTAGCCGAGTTGTGTTGCTTTTCAGAATAATTGTAACAGTTACAATGTTGCCATTGGGGGGAAAGTGTTGCTTCCATTAGCAACATTGAAAAAGGTGTTTGTATTTGTAGACTTTGTGAGCCTCGTCCTAATAAGAATCTTAATAATTTTCCCAGCAGAATTTAGTTCTACAGAAAATATATCATATATAAACATTGCATATACATATATAGACTTACTCCTCTTTGTGAAAGGAATGCTTTCCTCCATGTTATCCTAGAGGTGTGTTGGGGGGAGGGGGAATGACACATTTAAAACGTATCAGCTGTCATTTTTTTTGGGGGGGGGGTCCGGTCGTGGGGACTGAACTCTCGGCCTGGGCGCTGTCCCTCAGCTCTTCAGCTCAAGGCTAGCGCTCTACCACCTGAGCCAAAACACCACTTCCGGATTTTTTTTTCTTATGTGGTGCTGGGGAATCGAACCCAGGGCCTCATGCACGCAAGGCAATCATCTACCACTGGGCCACCTTCCCAGCCCCAGCTGTCATGTTTTCTGAGATAAAATTCTACACCTGTAACTTGACACCTGACTACCTACTTTTATATGCCTGCTATAAAAATGAGATACTTTATTTTCCTTTGGTTCCCTTTTTTTCTCCTCCCTACCTCCCATTTTTTCTTCCATTTGAATGCAGTCCTCTTACTTATTTGGGGCTTATCAGCTGGCACACTAGTCAGTCTTTTTCTCTTTTTTTTTTGTAATTTTGAAGATCTGTACCATGTTATAAATGATTAAGAATTTTCAAAATGTAAGAAAGGAGGGGTGTTTACTTTGTAAGTTGTCAGGACCTTCTGATTCTGCTAATATTTATATGCCAGTCTTCAAATATAACTGTAGGTTTTTTTTTTAACCCTCTCCCCAAATAGGTACTACTTTACAATCTCAGCTCAGAAGTGCCTTTTCTAATGTGCACCCAGTATGTGGCAAGTATTGTATGGGATTGCCGTTGTGAGATACAGAGAAGCTACATTTTTAGATTGAATTGGGAATTTTTAGTAGAAAGCCAAGGACTGAAGGTGGACTCCTTTCCCAAAGATCTGCAGCCTCAAATACACTTAATATGGTTAGGAAACTGAGTTATGAGAATGAGAGGAACAGAGTAAAGAAAAAGCAGTAAACAATCCCCCCAAAAAACAGATCAACTCCACTGGAGAGCTAAAGAGGAACGCCATGGTGACCTGAAGAGAATGAGGAGCCAAGAGGCATGGTACAACATGGTGGCTGAGCTGAGCAGGGGCCTACATAGGGTCATGGTCAGGGAGCAGGGTCACAGAAAACTCAAGAGTCTAGCAAGTTCATGGCACAGGACTGGCAGGTCCAGTACCTATTGTCAAAGTCCCTGCTCCAGCCTCTAGGAAGTCAGGCACACCCATCACCTGGGGTGGGACTTCACCTTCATCCACCAAGAAGACTAAATGGCACAGTTAGACCCAGTATCCTTATTTCAGTATGAATTATTGATTCCCATACTTTGTTGCTGCTTGATGTTAAACTCATTTACCAGTGCTCAAGATGTCTCTTGCTAAACTTGAGATTAGACTCAAGGTTCATATATAGTATGTGGGGGGAGGGGTATGGGGGGAAGGCAAGGTAGAGTTCAAGCCCTACGGCTGACAAAATAAACAACAAAAAACAATAAAGAAGGCAAGGGAGGAAGAGGAGTGAAACATGTTTATTCTCCTTGGTTTATCGTTTATGATTTAATCAAAGGCCACAAATTATTTTTATCTGAGAGGTACTTGAGTTGACTTCAGCATGAGCCTATTTCTCCTGGACTATTCTATGTGGTGTTAAACAGAAACATCAATTTTAACTGAAATTCAACTTGTATATATTCCCTAAGGCATTAAAAAAGAGCATGATGCAATGAAAAACATCATAGAATATGCTACCTTTTGTGAAAGATGATATATACATATATGTATATATACACATACATACATAGTTATGTGTCACTTAATGATGGGAATGTGTTTTGAGAGATGTATTGTTAGATGATTTTATGGTTGTTTAAACACCATAGAGTATTCTTATACAAAGTAGACAACTTCAATATCATTAGGTGTTATAATTGGATGGAAGCATCCTTGTAGTAAGTACTTTGTCAATGATGCGGTAGTGAATGCCTGCAATCCCAGCACTAAAAAAGTTGAGGTAGAAAGATTATGAGTTCAAAGCCATTCTAAGCTACAGAGCAAGCTTGAAGACTCACTTGGTCTATATAGTGAGGCCTTGCCTCAAAAAAACAATAACAAAGCCGGGCACTGGTGGCTCACGCCTGTAATCCTAGCTACATAGGAGGCTGAGATCTGAGCATCGCGGTTCAAAGCCAGCCCGGGCAGGAGAGACCATGAGACTCCTATCTCCAATAAACCACCAGAAAACCGGAAGTGGCGCTGTAGCTCAGGTGGTAGAGCGCTCGCCTCTAGGAAGTCAGGCACACCTATCACCTGGGGTGGGACTTCACCTTCATCCACCAAGAAGACTAAATGGCATAGTTAGACCCAGTATCCTTATTTCAGTATGAATTATTGATTCCCATACTTTGTTGCTCGGCCTGCTTGATGCTAAACTCATTTACCAGTGCTCAAGATGTCTCTTGCTAAACTTGAGATTAGACTCGAGGGACAGCGCCCAGGCCCAGAGTTCAAGCCCCACGACTGACAAAAAAAACAAAAGGCAAAAAATGTCACACTGTGTGTGTGTATGTGTAGAACACTAACAGTAATGTTACTATTAATTATAATGTTGGTATTATGAAGTTAAAATGTTTTCTATATTACAGGATAAAGCAAATGAGTAAATGTTTTAATGTTTATACAACTAAGAATTTCTTTTAATGGATCTGTTTTTGAATTTTTGGAGATCTTTTAATAATTTAGACTAAATAACATATTTTATAATATGTTTTTATGCAATGACTTGCTGAGGCGTATATAGTCATGATTACATTCACTCCTTTTTCTTTTTCTTTTTCTTTTTTTTGGGGGTCTGGTCATGGGGCCTGAACTCTGGGCCTGTCCCTCAGCTCTTCAGCTCAAGGCTAGCATTCTACCACTTGAGCCACAGCACCACTTCCGGCTTTTTTCTTTTTGCTTATGTGGTGCTGAGGAATCGAACCCAGGGCCTCAGGCATCCAAGGCAAGCGCTCTACAACTAAGCCAACTTCCCAGCCCTCCTTTTTCTTTTAGTGGCACTAGAGTTTGGGCTCAGGACCTCATACTTGCTAGGCAGGTAGTAATCTACCACTTGAGTCATACACTCAACTTCAAATTGAGAATTACTATTTAAAAGAAAAAGACACACAATTTATTACTTTGTAAATTGTTGGCTATAGTGATTTTTTTCTTCCTGTTCAGGAAATCTTTTATCTACCTCAGGAAGATAATCATTTCTTATAGATTTCATGTATAGCTTTCAATCCACCCCTTAAGACGGAAGCCAAGGCTGTGTTTTTCTTCCCACGTGGGTTCTAGAAAAATCTTTTACAAAATCCTAGAAAGATAAGGTTTTTCTTTTCTTTTCCTTCCTTCCTTTCTCTCTCTCTTTCTTTCTTTTTTTTTTTTGGGTCCGGTCATGGGGCCTGAACTCTGGGCCTGGGCACTGTCCCTCAGCTCTTCAGCTCAAGGCTAGCTCTCTACCACTTGAGCCACAGCGCCACTTCCAGCTTTTTTCTTTTTTTTGCTTATGTGGTGCTGAGGAATCGAACCCAGGGCCTCATGCATGCAAGGCAAGGGCTCTACCACTGAGCCACCTTCCCAGTCCCTCTTTCTTTCTTTCTTTCTTTCTTTCTTTCTTTCTTTCTTTCTTTCTTTCTTTCTTTCTTTCTTTCTTTCTTTCTTTCTTTCTTTCTTTCTTTTCTTTCTTTCTTTCTCTCTCTCTCTCTTTCTTTCTCTTTTTGTTTTTTGAGGGAGA